AGACAAAGCACCTCAGAAATCCCACTAACTTGTCCCCAGAACAGAAGGAGACACGCGTGTCATTACCGCCTCTTCCCTATTAAATACTTTAATGCAAAAAAAAACAATAAATAAGTAAATTCATCGTATTATTGCTTCAACATTTCTGTATATATTTTTCACAATTTAAATTAGAAAAACCCATTTATTATTGTTTCCCAAATTCCACAACAACGACCCACTTCCCTACGTCAATACTCTTCCAATTCCATGCAATCAATAAATATCCTCTGTTTACTCGTATTTTCAATCTTTTTTTTTGGTTAAGAGTTTTTCAATTTATTGACGATTTGACAATTTGTAGTACACACAGTAGTATTTAACTCAAAAGTTGACTTTATTAGAATTTCATAAAAGGTGATTTTGGTTAATAACCAACCAAAAAATATAATATAAAATCTAATAATTTGGGTAGAGAGATAGGAAGAAATAGAAAGAGAAAAATGTGGATTTTGGTTAGATTTTATGTTATTGTTTTTTTTTATAACTATTGATGCTAATTACCCTTTTATAAACTAAGTTAAAAAAAAAAAACTAATTGACAAGCAAAATAAAAAAACTTTGATTTATAGAATAAAATTTGTATTTTACAAATCGGTGAGGTACTAGACCTTCTCGTACATAATGTTAAATAATTTTTTTTTCCAAACCATGTTAAATAACAGTTGCAACATCTATCATGAATTTTTCTCAAAAAAAAAACGTTTATCATTTTTTTTTTTTTTGAAAACATGAAAAAGAACATAAATCATGAATTGAGATTGCTATATATCGTAGCTTTATACCGTAGTGTGATAGGGTAATACTAAAATAAAAATTTACATGATGGATGATGATTAAAAATCTATATTGTTGATTAAAAATCAGAGTTAACAAATTTATTTACTATATCAGTGAACTAACGTGTAATCTACTTATATTTTACAATATATATAGTAAACAATTACAGGCGAAGTGGGAAAAAAAAACTAGACATAAGCTATTATACATATTGAATTGTGAATTGAGGTATATTTAAGCTTTAATTCAAATCGAGATAATTATTGCACAATAGTAACGTTGGTATATCAAAATTAATTTTATAACCCGTCCAATAGAAACAGCCGACTAGCTTTATTTATTTTAAAATATTATAAGGTGCATGAGCTTTATATAACACTAATATTATAATTCCGTCCAAACAATAAAGACAAAAACTATAATAAATTCTATTTTATCTATATGTTTATATATAAATGTCAGGGAAGATGAGATTGTTGTCTCTGTCTTATAAATATATATAAATAAAACGAAAAGAAAAAAAAAAGTTATTAAGAGATTAGTGTCGGTGAATTTTTTGAAACCTTCTCTTTTGCGGTTTCGTGTTCCTCTCATCTCTTCTTGGCCCACGTGTTCATCAATCTCCACCTCCGCATGTAATCTCTTCGCCGTCAACTTTCACATCTTCTTCTTCTCTCTTTCTCTAAAATCACTAGATCGGTAAAAAAAGGTTGGTTCTTTGAAACCTCCGGAGAAAACCCATATGGAGACAGCGACGGATGTTGTGGTTTCTACTCAGGCGGTTACGGCGGCGACGGTTACGGTGAGGAAGAGAGAGAAGCCTTATAAAGGGATAAGGATGAGGAAATGGGGGAAGTGGGTGGCTGAAATAAGAGAGCCTAATAAACGTTCAAGGATCTGGCTTGGCTCTTACTCTACTCCTGAAGCGGCGGCTAGGGCTTACGACACGGCGGTTTTCTATCTCCGTGGTCCTTCTGCTCGTCTTAACTTCCCTGAGCTTTTAGCTGGAGTTACGGTGACCGGAGGAAACGGTGGTGGTGATATGTCGGCGGCTTATATAAGGAGAAAAGCTGCGGAGGTTGGAGCTCAAGTTGATGCTTTAGAGGCGGCCGGTGG